TGATAAAAAAATATAGATTGATCATATAAGTAAAATATTCGCTGATTTTCTAAGAGATTAAAATTCATTTGACTATGAGTATGCAGGATTTCAAGTGTAAAATCAACAAGTGGTGAATATTAGAACTAAAACTATTTTTATTGCTTAATTGTGGTAGATTGTCTAGAGAAGTGCTATGCTACTTCATGAGTCGTGAAAGTTTAGAACAGTGATACAGACCTACACTACGATTCGACCATAAAGTTTTTGGAAACAGTATTTTTTATACAATTATTACGAATGTTTGCGTTGCATATGCTTCTCGACATTGAAGACCTGTAAACTAGGTCGAATTAAGCCTCAATTTTCTTAACGCGTACACATCTCTCTATACAGAGATATCTCGAAAACATAATAGATGTTTATCATTTTATGCTAGAAGAGAACTGAAGTACCATTTGTGTGTACGTCCCAATTTAACACGAATTAAATTACCAGTAATATTAATATTTTTTTATTTCTCGTGTGCATTGTTCATTTCCATTTGTGTTCGTTCAAATCATAACACAAGAAAAAAATTTTCTTTCCAACAAATCAGTATACGTTTTTCTTTGCACAATACAAAATATTTTGTTTTTAATAAAAACTTATATATGTAGAGGTGGTAAATCCGAGCATTTCTAAATTCGTCAAAAAAAGGCTTCAAGTTCCGACTTGGACTCGTCCACCTCTGTTTATATAACAACTATGATTTTGATGTATTTAATCGATATTTGATGTTCAAAAGATCATAGTAACCAATTTTTGACCACTGTGAATCTCAAAACCCTTATACGTTAGCCATCAAGTAGTGCATATGAATAACAACAACGCAAATTAACTTTTCTAATCCGCAAAAGTTTAGAGTATGGCTAGACCACGTAACTTTGCTACCGTAATGTAATTCCGTTATGTTTTATTTGTATTTTATTTCTTCTATAATACAAGTCCAGAGCTCTGCAATATCTCATCAAAGAGAAAAGTGTGTTGAATATTTTGAGACTTTCGCACATTCTACACATTCTTTTGTTTACTACAGGATACTTTTCGTTTTAGTCACAAAAAAGACAAAGACACTTTTTCTCATTTTTGGTTTTTCTCCTTTGAAATTCAACAAGTTTTATTTTGATCTGAGAGAGATGCGGATTTTTATAACAATTTGAATATCATATTGACATTCACCAGAAATTTCGTTTCATCTTAACAAATTATTTATGGTAGTTATTTTTTTCATTTTATGATTGTATGTTATGCTGTTATTAAGTCAATTTTAGATTTAAAAAAATATCATTACTACAAAAACGTTATTATCATTAACGAGCTCATATTGATCTATTATTTAATCATACATTCAATTATCCGAATACATCAGATGATATTGAGATGTCTACATATTATCCAACAATGAACCGTAAAATTGGCAATCCACATCAGAATAGTGATGAGGAACAAAAAATAAAAACAAGAAGACAAACATGTTGAGTTTGTTGATATTGGTTATGATTACGGTAGTCTGTTAAAATCATGATCATCAATATTTCATGATACATACATGTTAGAAATGAAAATACGTGTCAAAGTTTATGATTATGTTTTTGATTTAAGTATTAAAAAAGTCAAATCCAGGAGTATATTAGTAATTTAAATACAAATACTATAAAATTTTTTACCAAATTATTTTCAAAAAGGACAGTTAACAAAAATGTTTTTTCTCTATCCTGATTCACATTATAAAAAAAAAGCCAAATATAAATGGGCGTATCATTAATAGAAAATTGTTAGCTGAATATGCTTATTTGTTAAATAGTATCCGATTAATTTATACGTGTACAGACGCTAAAAATTTACATTTATGAATATATTTGTGCTTCAATAGATGTCCATTATTTAAACATGTTAGAAATGATGATTTAGATTTGTAGGATGATGTTTACAGTGATTACATACTAAATTTAACAAAAGAAAGGACGAAAAGTAACAAGAAATAATTAAAATAAATCTACAGTATTTCAGGAAAATTGAAGATCCATACTCTTTTATTTCTTTAATTTTATTCTGAAGTTTATGATTATGAGGTTCTTTTTCATTATAGTCCAAGAACATAGTTTATGAAACGTTGACCTATGCTTTGAAGAAAAGGTAAAAGTTGACAATTACTGTGTTTCTTGATCAAATAGTGATGTATCTCTTGAAACACATTCAGACAGTGTCTATCTCGACTCTTTCATATTCTAATTGTGAACGAATATTGCAGTTTATTGTAAATTTCAATTTATAAATACGATCTTTCTAGATCATATTTTTAGTATTCGTGTTTTTTAATAGTTGAAGTATTAGAATATTCATGAGAGAAAAAGATTGTGTCTAGGAAACTTTTATTCATTTATACGCGTAGATTTTTTTCTACTAAACTGTTACATGTAAACCAAGCCGTTTAAGGAACTTACAGACAATAACATTAGACTTTACGGTGGTTTACGGTTAAATTTTTCGTAACTGATTTGTGTTTTATGAAATCTATCCCATTTTTTTACGAAAATTTTGCTTATAGGTACTATAATATAATCTCTTGGGGCCGTATCACAAAAAAACTTAAATCTTCATTATGTGCACTTATGTGCTCATTTTATACACTTTAGTCTGATTTAAGCCTAGACTTTGACTTAAGTTTTTTCGTGATACGACCTCCTTCATCATAAGTAGAATGTATTGTATTTTTTATGCGAAGGAGAAAAGCATACTCATCATTACTTGTAATGAGCTTATATACCTTTCGCCTTTTCTCTATTATTTTTCAGATGTTACAAACGGTATACATCAATTAATTGTTGTACAATCCATCGTGAAAGAAGATTTAATTACCTATTTATTTTCAAACAAAGTTTTCTCTATTATTATCTACTTATCATTTAAACATCCAACAGAATCTTCTAGTTGAAATTGAACATGACTACCATCAATCAATATTAATTATATTGGAAAATATTGCTTTATATTGCAATATTTTTTATAATACACGTTTAGATTAGTTTCAAGCTAAAATAAGTTTATTTCATAGCATTCACATATTGATAAAAACATTCAATGGAATAATAACTGCAATGATAAAGGAAGAAAATATAAATGATATACTTCATCGATTGATTTGTTGATTTTCTATTTTTTATTTCAAGGATTACGTTTACAATCGTTAATGGCCAAGCTTTTATATTCAAGATGTTCAAAATAAAGTGAATATTATTGATTACCTTTATGCTATTACTACATCTTCGACAAAGGATATATTTTCTATTAAAAATACAATGAACGATCGAACATTAGAAACAAAATTAACGCACAATTATATTGAACAATTAATTACACATAACATAAATCATGTTTATTACCGGTTTCAAGTATCCCTTATAAATTGCTTTTTAATCAGTCGTCTAATTGTATCAAAGTGCAAATAGTACAATATTTCATTTTTTCTATTGCTAGTTACTACTCTTTCTCAGAAAGTCATCCACTAATACTTTCTGGTAGTAGATGGGTTGAATTAAGCATTTACGAATATTTTTCAATCAATTAAAGCGCATATGCACAACTACTAATTCAAAAAGAAAACAGAAACTCACCCGTCTCTTACTATTCTAATCTTCGATTTTCTCATGTATATATTTCAGGAATAGGATTTAAGATTGTTCTTGTATCATCGTGAGATATTTTTCTGGCGGACAGTTTCTTTCGCCAAGTGAAACATTTATGTATGTACGCTCATACTTGATAGACAATCGGAATTTACCTTTTACTATATTTCAGTTATTTTGTCAGACAGTTTAGTGATTGAAAGTGTCTTAAGCTAGCTGATCATAGTACCTGTCAAACTCTTACAGTCTGTTCAGATCAAATATTTGCAAGAGCATCACGATATTTGTTGACGAATAAAAAGGTTCAAGACATTTTTTCTAGAACAAAAAAAAGGTCGAAACTCAGGGTTGGTTTGTCCTGCTTCACCATTCTAGTTGGAAATCCTATTCACAAGTAAGCACTGAAAGATAGTATTTAAAACAGTATTATATTCCAAAAGATCTCTGAGATATACTATCATCAAACCGATTAATATCTATTGTAATAAACCATTTCAGATTAAAACGATGTTGTTAGTTTATTATTCACGGTCAAATCAAGGCTAATAGATGATATCTAGTGCCAAAACTTTTTATTTCCATTTTATTCTAATTATGCATTCCCGTATTAATGTTGCTATGATGATAAAATGCTAAGATTATATATATATATGTATTATCATTTAATTCAGCAACATTTTATTAAAATTTAATTTTTATTTTTCTAGTAAAAATGTATTTATATACGATGACTTGTTTTAAATACTCTCGCCAGTTTTGTCAAATGTTCCTGTGATAATTTTTTGCAAATAGAGCAAGTATATGACAAGAAAATTTAGCACTTAAATTACTTTATCTTCTTATTAAGTACTAAACAAAACACTTGTTCATGTAACTTGCGAGTATCTGTGAGAAGTCTAACAAATAAATCAAATATTTGGCATATACTTTCAGGTACTAATACAAATCATTTTCAAGTCACATTTTATGAAAATACTTGTCAATAGAAATTCATAAGTAAACAAGTACTCGCTTACAAATACATTTAATAGAGATATCTTTGATCATCATGTTTTATCGACATCAAATAATAAGATAAAGTTTTTGTTAATAGGCAAATTTTTTTTGAAAGATTCATTGCAGTTTTAGATCACACAAAGTTTTTCTATATGTTCAGAATTAAGAATGAACGAAAATCTATACTTTATTATTGAATTATATAAATTCAATAAATATGATAGCAATAGTTTAGTTTTCATTTTTTCAATTAAGTTTTTGATATTTAAGAAAATTCATTAAATAAATTTCATTTATTTTATTAAAGTTTTTTAATATTTTTAGATAGAAAAGATTTGGTTTCTTTTTGTGAAAAATATGTCATTATTCCGTGAACAAAAATATGAATTATTAAATAATAATGTTGAAGGTATTAAATGTCAAAATTTAGATAATCAACTTGTTACCAAATGTTTTCAAATCTCTTGTGGATTATGTAATCATTGTCGTGTGTTTCTTTGCATAAAACACATGGTTCAACACAATACATTACCACAAACAGATAAAGATGATCCAGAAAGAGAGAAAATAATTGATGTAATTAATAAAAATCAAATGATTATTGATGATAATAAAACTATTGTGCAATACTCAAAAAATTTATCAACAAATATTTTATCTACAAAAAGTATGTTTAAAAATTGTTTAATTGACTAATATAAAACGAATATTTTATTTTTATTTTAATATTTTTATTTTTTGTTTAGTTAAACAAACAACAACTATTGAATCACTTCCGAATGAAATAATGCTTATTATATTTAGTTATCTATCATCTATTGATATTATATCAACATTTTATGGTATGAATGATAATGTAAATATATTAATTGAAAATTGTTTTTCAAAAAAAGTTGATTTATCACCCGTACAATCGTATGATATTTTTAAAGATTGTTTCGATCGTATATTTCCCTGTATTGGTTCAAATGTAACAACATTAATTGTTGGTGATGAATATCATTATGAACAGTTAGATATATTTTTTAATTCAATTCAAAATCGTAATTTAGCTGATTTATTTCCAAATCTTGAATTATTAACATTATTATGGATACGTATAACAAATTTATCAACATTATCTCAATCATCATTTCAAAAATTATCAACATTAAGTTTAACATTTAATAATCATAAATATGAGATGACTAATATTGATCAAATATTAAAAATAAATTCATTAAAATATTGTCTTATTGATAATGTATCTGTAACTGTAACTGAATCACCTATTTTAACAAATTCATTTATTCGTCAATTAAGTATTTATAATTTATCAAATTTTGAAAGTATTATTATTTTATTAAGAAATTTAATACAACTTGAACATTTAGATGTTAAAATTAATCGTGATGTACAAATTATTAATGATCATATTGATTTACCAAAACAAATAAATTTAAAACATTTTGGTCTATGTTGGAATATTTCAAAACATCGAACATATATTATAATTAAAAATTTAATTAAAAATCATTTAACACAATTAGAACATCTTTCATTAAGAATTAAAGGTCGACATTGGCAATCACAAGAATGGCTTGATGGAAATCAAATTAAAAATGATTTATTAGTTAATTGTACACAACTTAAAGAGGTAAAGAACTAGTTTTACTAGAGCTTTTAGAAAAAGTTATCAAATTTTTCAAAATCAACAAAGTTTTTTTTTGAGATTTTAGAATTTTATTCATAAGTTAATTATTCAGATGTACAAACATGAAGTTTTGACAAAAAAGTTTATAACTTTATCCTTTGTTTCGAATAAATTATCGTTTTCATTATCGTATATTCCTCGGAATTCATTAAGAGAGTTTTTAAATTAATTTTTTCTAAGATGATCATCAAATTAATTGTATTTCATTGTTTTACACATTCCGGTGATGATGTAAGAATTTTAATGAAAACTCTCTTGGTAGAAAAGATTGAAGACCTAGCTAAAAGAGGCTCCCTAGGTAGGAAAATCAACTTCTTATATATCAATACCAAATTCGTTATCAAAAATTATCTAAATTACTTAATTTTTTTATGGGTTTTCGATGTCTCATACGAAGAAAATGTTGATTTAACGGCGACTCTGAAACGCGATCTCCTGATGAAGTCGTTTTAGAAGATATCAGAAACTTCATTATAGCTGATGAGACGGATAACACATATGAGGGAGCTTCTCCAACTTAAAAATCGCTTTGGCTCAAAAACCAGTGGACAATAGGTTATCGACCGTGCTGATTCCGAACATGAACGTGATTTTTGCGCTAGGCGTTCTAAGATCCGGTTTTCTAGAAAATCAGTTTTCCGGAAACTCTAAAAGATAACCAAAACCTTTCTTAACGAAGTATAATTGTAGCGCGCACATTTCTGATTAAAATGAGACCTCTCCCAGCTCTACATGGCCTTTCGTTTACAAGAAAAGCCCTAAATTAATTTCTTCTTATTTCAGTAGCTTTGAGCCGACAATGAACATTTAGGGCTTTTCGTGTAAATTCTATAACTTTGCAACAAAAGGCCATGTAGACCTGGGAGAGGTCTCATTTTAATCAGAAATGTGCGCGCTACAATTATACCTCGTTAAGAAAGGTTTTGATTATCTTTTAGAGTTTCTGGAAAACTGATTTTCTAGAAAACCGGATCTTAGAACGCCTAGCGCAAAAATCACGTTCATGTTCGGGATCAGCACGGTCGATAACCTATTGTCCACCGGTTTTTGAGCCAAAAGTGATTTTCAAGTTGGAGAGGGTTCCTCGATAGTGTAGTGTACTCTAATAATATCCTTGGGGAACGAAAATTTTGCCCCATTTTTCGAAAGAAAAGCGTTCAACAAAATGACGCATTTCCTGAAAATTGTTATTTTAGACCAACCTATATCGAAAATCGAAAATAGAAATGCTAGTAGTCTATCTGAAAATATGATTGAAACCAATCCATGTTTTATTTCGCTTCAATAGGGTTGATCTCCAAATTTGAAAAAACTGATAATTGTCGGACTCTCAGTGTACCATCTACTACAAAGAAACGAAAGTACTTCAGAAGGTTGTGATTGCGTGAACTTGTCATAGACACTCTCTAGTGTTTAGGATAAATTCTTTTAGTCTAAGTAACATGTCGTCACGAAGTTACATGAAGTTCAAGATAATGAAATTTGGATTTTTCTGAACTTTTCATAGAATGAATATGAATGAATATTTTAAGAACGAAACAACTTTAGACTTGTGATTTTCGTTAAAATCCATACTCTAAACATGTCCTCTACTTTGAAAGAAATATGAAATGATCAATTGAGTGCGTTCGATTGTGACTTAACTTTAATAAGTTTTAATTAACGAACAAAAGAAGTTGATGACATAGAAACAGGAATGGTTAGAATCGTGACATGTGCAATATGAACACACAGAATGTAGGATTATATAAAACTTCTCTTTAATAAAAAATATTCTTTCTTTTCTAGTTTATTTTCTGTTTCAAATTTAATTCAATTTATTTATTAATTCGTAATAGTCATGATTTATTACAAACATTTCGTAGTGATTATTGGCTTAAACAACATGAATGGTCAGTTGGTATTAGTATGAACGGATTTCAATGTCGTCTATTTTCATTACCCTATCCATATCATTATGTTGATTATGATGAAAATTTCTTATTAAAATCAAAACAAAATTCAGATAAAAAATGTATACCACATACTGGCTGGACAAATGTAAAAATTGTACGCCTATTAAATGATCATATTAAATTAAGTTCATTAAAAAAATTTAATGAATCATTTACAAATATATCAACATTATTTATAAAAACATTTGATTCATCATTAACAAATGGAATGTATCATTATTCATTTTTTAAAAATATAAAACGTTTAGATTTATCATCATGTGCAAATAGAAATTCAACAAAAAATGCTCTATTATCAGCACAAACAGCTACAAATCTTGTAAATTTAACAGTACATTATATTGACCTATTAACAACAACAAATCATTTTCAACAGTGTGTGTTTTTATTTCGATTTATAAAAATTCTATGTGTTAGTATAATAAAATTAAATTATTATAGAAAATGTGATTTTTTTTTTTTTGTTTGTTTTTCTTCGTATTTTAGGTACACGAGTTTTTTATTAATCAATTAGATGAATTTTTTGTTCATTTTTCTAACGTTGATACATTAGAATTACGAAAAACAAGTCGATCAATATATGTTTATGAATATATTTCATTGATATTAACAACAATGGCCAAAAATAAAACATGTTCAATTAGTTTATATATTGAATTTGTTAAACGAATGGATAATCAAGAAAAATTAGAAATGGATATTAAACTAAGTCAAAAACGATTCTATTCGAATCATGATCATTATTTTGTCAAATTTTGGTACGTATTCAAGCGAGATAATAGTGTACTTTAACATACTTTTCTTTTCATTGTTTTTCATCTTTTCAGGGGTAATGCTCAAACGATTTACGATCATTTTAAACTATCTACAAAACGAAATGATCTTAGGACTATTGAATCAGAGTGTAAACGTTTTAAGCATGATTTACTCTAATTAGGTATGTTCTAGCTTAGAAATATATATTAGCTCAATAACGTAAAGGTGGTTCATGTTTTCAGTGTCACTTATGTATGTGACAAATCGAGAGAAATCGAGGTGAGCTGATGGCACGCAAAGGACGAAAGAGAAAATAGTAAAATTCAAATATAAGCTTTAAGAACGTTTGCCAAATAGATAGGCCGAATAAGACTTTAAATGTGCAAACTTTTTCGGTCTGTCTAATCATTCATTTATTTGTAATTAGTGCTTATCAAAGTAAGTTTACATTAGCAAGACAACAAGAAGACTCATCACCTATCTCCATTTAAGAATTGGGAGAAAAGGTATCAGCAGAACTTGTCATTAGTAGAACAGCCGGATGTTGTCTTGCCATTCATTATTACATTTCGAAATATTTCCCAGATGTGTTGTACAGTAAACTCAAAGTTCTAAAAATTCAAATAGAGGACTCAGTTATCATTTTTGAATTCAAATCCATGTTTTACAAAAGATTCTCAGCAAGTCTAAGCCAATTTGAACGTGTCTTCTAACATAAGTATTCTAGATTTAATTAATATAAACTTACTTTGATAAGTATCAATTGCTAGGTTCGTAATTTTCCTCTTTCTCCTCTTTCTGAGCGAATTTTCCACTTTTTCTAAGATTTTTTAGCAAAAATACCAGAATTCAGGCTACTTTTAGATCTGAAAGTAGTTTCAGATATATTTTTTTATCAATGCCGTCATATGAAACAAAAAATTCAATCACTCGTGGTTACAAAAAACAGTAGATGAAGTCCTTGTGAGACAATGGTTAAAGCAAGGTGCTAAGGAATCAACATTCGTATGTACATTGTGTAAAACGGGGCGAATTAGATTGTGGGAACAAAGGATGGCAGTCGATAGTACAGCATATGAAGAAAGATTAACATCGTAAAAAAATCAAAGAGTTGAAAGAAAATACCACATTTGTTTCTCCAACATTTTCGTCGCATATAGCCACAACTTTATCACAAAGTTCATCTACATTCACCGTTTAAACTAAAATAACTCCTTTTTGCTGTGTTTTTCTCAATTTTTTACGCATGAAACACGGAAAAAAATACTTTAAGTTAGATAAAAGTATTTTTTTGAGACTCTTACTTTGACTTGTGCACAATACTGTCAGTATCGTTTTTTACTTAATGATTCCTCTTTTGTACCCTACGCTCCTCTTAAAAAACTTTTGACGTTCCTCTTTTTTTCCTCTTTTTTCTGAAAGGAGCGTTACGAAGTCAGATCAATTGAAAACAAATAAATTTTTTCGTTGATTAGAGAGCCTGTAAAAGTTTGCACATATAAAGTCTTATTCGGCTGTTCTATCTGAAAAACGTTCTTAAAGCATATATTTGAATTTCTCCATTTTCTCTTGCTTTTTCTTAGATAATTCAAGTTAATCATTTAACTAATAGATAAAACTGACTTTGAGGTCCTAGTCTAACATACTTTTTCTGAATTTATTAAAATTAGTCATCCGATATCTTGACTGATAGTTAATAATAAAAAGTTTTTGATTTCATGAGAGTTTTACCATTTAATTAGAGAAATTGTTCTCAGAATTGTTGAACAGAAAATTCAGCTTATTCGTGGCTTTCTCTTTTTCAGGTATATTATTGGAAAGTGAAACGGGGATGGCAAAACGTATCCTGTGCAAATCTCTTTTTATGTCTCTGGAAAAAGTTTAGTTTATTATTTTTTTTGTATATGTGTGTGTGTATTCTGCGCTGTTTGAACAGAGTCAATCCCTCAAGATTTTTTTGAATTTTTGTTTTACAACGATAAAAAAAAAAACGCTCACTAGTACTATATACGAAGTGCATGTGTGTGGATTAAAAACAGTTTGAGTTCTATCTAATTTCCTATGGATGTTAAAGTTTTAAAGGATCAACATTCTTTGGCTATGATTACCATGTTCAGATATACTCTCTTTTCTATTTTTTTCATTATCATTTTTTACGTAATAAAACTTTCTATAGATCTTTATGGATTTTGTATTATTTTATTTTGTCTTCTAGCAAGTATGTCAATTTGATGAAATTGTTGTTACTTATTATCTAGAATGACAGATAAGAAGTTATAAGATGACTAAAATTTAAAAGAAAGATGTTTTTGTTCTCATCATTCCTATTGTAGCTCTAGCTTCTGTGACACTATTTTTTTTTTCAATAATAATAAAGTTTTCAATTTGAGTACTGCTAATAATATTGAATATAGGCTACTTCGTTAGAACAAATTTACGAGCGTATAAACAATATGTGAAATGGAAAAGATGTATTCTTTATTTCATAACAAAATTTATTTCAGATATAAAGAAATATGTCGAAAAGTGAGTATTTAAAAACAATTGAAAATCAACAACAACGCATCACTAGGCTTGAACAAAGATTTTCTGGTAAGTATTTTATCTGTTTTAATATCTCGAATATAAAATATTTTATTTATTTTTTGTTGTGGTTGTATAGATGTTGTTACGGCCTACAAAAATCTTCAAAAAGAAAAAGATGCACTAGAATCAACGATGAAAATTTTATCTTCCGCTTCATCAACAGGAACAGGAACAACACTATCATCTATGGTAGCCAATGGAGTAATAAACAATGCGATAATTAAAGAAGTAAGAAACAAATAGCATAAAAATTATTTTTTGCTTATTTTTGTGTACTTTTAAGAATAATGATTCTGGAAGTGAAGCTGAAAGTGGCATAAGTACTGGAACTTCTTCTGTAGTTGAACAGACGATTCAAGATAAATTAAACACACTACAACAAAATGTTACTATTATAACAGAACAAAAAACGAAAATGGAATTGATGTATCAAACTGAGAAGAAAAAGTTGAAAGTATGAAGAAAAACAACAACATATTAACAGTTTTTACTTTAATAGTACAAATCATACTTTTTGTTTTATCTATTCTAGACGGAAAATGAAGAATTAAAGGGTTTATTGGATGAGGCTAAAGCTGAAAATATCATATTAAATCAAAAATATGAAACAGAATTAAAAGAGGTATGTTTCCTACCATTTTTATTTATGTAATTCTTTTTATTTTATATAATTCATTTCATTTTATTCTAGCTTAAATCTCGTTTTCGTCAATCTCAACGTGATCGTGAACGTGAAGTAGCCGATCATGGTGTGATGGTACGTGAACTTCAAACATTAGTGTCAGCCGAACGAAATACACGAGAATTAATTGAACAACAAGTATAAATAAGAACAAAAAATGTTTAACGTTTTATAGTTGTTTAGTTTATTATTGTAGTTAGAAGAATGTCGAGTGAAAATTTCTCCATTGGAATCTCAAATAGAAAAATTTAAAAAAGAAAATTTAAATTTAACTCAACAATATCAATCAAAATTAAGTGAAACAAAAGAAAAAGGTGCATCCGATATTGAAGATATGAAACGTTCGAAAGAAAAAATTAATGAATTACAAATACAACTAAAAGATTTGGAAACAAAATATAACGATGAACTTCGAACAGCATCAAAACAAAATCAATATATTGAAAAGAAAATGAATAGTTTAATAAATGAAAATGAGGTAAAAGTAGCAAAATTGGAAACACATATTGCCGAATTATCAGATCAAATTGGAGCAATAGAAAAACAACGGTAAATGAATAATTTTGTTATATTAAAATGAAATAATTTGAATTTTATTTAGTTCCCAAGATCAATTAATTATTCAACGTTTAAAAGATCGCATATCACAATTGAATATGGAAAATTCTGTATTAACTACTGCATCATCAACATCGATTGAACAAGATTTAAATGGAGATGATGAAACAAAATCAAATGATATTGATATAGAACAAAATACTAATGATTTAGATACATTAATGAAACGTATATCAAAATTGAAAGTTTTAATTCGTCTAGTCAATGAGCGATTTGGAAAAGCGTTAACAATCGAAGGTAAAACAAAACACTATATTCTATTAAAAAAAATTAAAAAAACATAAGATGAAAAATATATATATTTTCTTTACTTTTAGATGTATTAAATATTGATCGTGAAGTAGGTAAAGATTCAATATCAACGACGACTAATGGTCATCCGAGTGATCAACTACACACAAAATGTCATGAAGAAATGGATCGTTTAAAATCAGAATTAGAAAAATACAAAACAAAAACATTAGCAGCATTCAAAGCAAAAACATTTAAAGTATATAACGGGTGCTTCAGTATTTTGGTTTTTTCGTTAACGATTCTTGAAATTTGGTGTGTAATATATGTGATCATAAATATTACAGAAATTCTTTTGTAAAACTAGTTAAATATAGAAATGTTATACTAGTAAACAAGTTACTTGTATTAGTTAACTTTCATATCGGTAAAGGGCAACGATTTTAAAATTCAATCAGACGTATTATTAACTGCAGCCATTTCCGACTTCATCTTATAATTTTTTTTCTCTATAGAGTTAATGAGTCATGAAAATGAAAATGAAGAATAATAAGCTTATTTTTTACTTCTTCCATGTAATTCTATAGACTTTTGTGTTGATAATAGCCGTTATGGGTCGAAAATTACACAGAAAATTGTAATTAAAATAAAAAGATGAAGTCGGAAATAGCTGTAGTTAATATATCTGATTAGTTTTGTATTATTCTGCGAGAGAGATTATATTTATCAATTGATTACATTGCATTATTCAAACCTAAATTTTTATTTAATTATAGGAAACGAATACTACAAAAGAAATGGATGATTTACGTGCACAAATGGAACAATTACGTGAAAAATTATATTCAACTCAAACTTTGTATAATAATGAAAATCAACGACATATGCATGTTGTAGAAAAATTAGAAACATGTCTAAAAACTATTAATGAACAACATCGTCAAGAAGTTGAACAAATGATGTCTAAAAAACGAATTGAAATAAATGAATTAGAATGTGAATTAGAAAAACATCGAGAACGTACAGCAAGAATATTAAATGAAAAAGAACGAGAAATAGAAGCTATTAAAAAATTATTTACTGGTGAAACAACAAAATTAAATGAGAATGAAGAAATTTTAACAGTTTCAACTGAAGATTCAACATCAGTTAATGATCTATTTAGTCGTTCATGTTCATCACCACCACTACCGATAACTGATAATGTTAATTTATTATATTTTGTTCAAGAACAACAATTACGTGATCAAGAATTATCACAATTGCGAAAACAACGTCGTGAATTAGAACTTTCTCTACGTGATATACAACAACATCATTCATATGAAATAAATCAATTAAAACAAACAATTGAACAGTTAAATGATGATATTGAACATTTAAAATTAAGTAATATAAGAAATAATACAACTGTACATGATTTTGATTATATTAAAAATGTCTTTTATCATTATTTAATTACAAATGATATTAGTGTTAAACAAACAATGGTTAATGCTCTAATGACAATACTTCATTTTTCATCAAAAGAAAAACTAAAAATAAACGATTATCAAAAGAAAGCAAATACAATCAGTTGGTTTTATAATACCAATCCGAATAAGTAGATTTTACTATTTAAATTTGATTTTTTTACTTTTCTGATTCTTCTTTCTCATCTCTGAGCTGAGTTCATGTGTTTGATGATAAAATAGAAAATTCTGTAAATTGGTCTCGTTTCACATAACACAATAACAATGATCGAATAAAAACTGTGTCATTGATTCATCTTTCAGAAGAATTAAAAAAATAAGTTTTGAAAACGATACGCTAAGTATTTTATTAAGCAAAGAAAGATATCTATGAAAACGTTTTTTTCCTATATCATTTTTGTAGATAGTGATATTAGTGAGAACAGTTTTTTCATATTATTACAGAAACCCATCATTTGTCGATAAAGTTCGCTTATACTATAATAACAAATTGAGTCATCTTACATCACTCATTCTTATCATTATACGAGTAAAATCAGCAAACAGTTTACTGTCCGTTTGTTACTCTATTTCTATCAATTTTTTCAAATAGCAGCACCACTATGTGAAAGCGATCTGGTGAATTATGAGGTGCAATCTCTCTGAAGGCGTTTAATTTTCCCTTTATTCGTAAAATATGAAAGTGCATGAGAAAAGAATTTTTCATTTATTCTTCACTTCGATTCACTGTAAATCGTTTTTTAGTGTCTTATTATTTAAATATATTTATGACAGACGACTGAACGAGAAATATTCCATTATTCTATATCTCTTCTCATATTTGAGTATTTTTTATTAAAAGTGTAATTGATTGTTTATTTTTTGTTAGAAAAAGATTTTATCATTCTGTTTCAATACACTGGTGTTATTGCTTTTTTTTTTGTTTGTTTCATGAAGTTTTTAAATTAATGTAAATTATTTATTTATGTAAACAATTCCATACTATCAGTTTCAGATATTTGTTACTCGATGATTATCAACTGCGCATTCCTGATCTATTTAAGGAGGAATCACCTTCACCCTCAAAACATAAAATAGATAGTTAAATATAATGAAAAAGAGTTATGTAGAGCGAACTATTTAATATGAGTTTCATATATAATATGGATTTAAAAAAATAAAATAAACACTTAAAAATGTCGCACAGATGCGGAACAATTATGACAGAGAAAATAAACCGAAACACACAGTTTATCTTTTTGATAAGAAAAACATCTGCATATTTCTCAGAAATATCTCACTGTTGTAAGAGAATTAAGTTGATGTTCAAATAAACTTGCCTACAATAAAAATGTAAATAAATAAATTCAAATTTATGTTCTAATCATTTGTCATTATAGAGCAGCAGAAGCGGATCCAATTGCTTTTCTTATTATTCTCGATTTCTTCTGTTGAAGGAGCGAGACTCAAGTCAAGCTAAATGCACCATATGTCTACCATAACATGCCCAATAGTCAGAAAAGCTCTTGCTCGTAGTAACTCAATGTGATCTACAAACTGATCAGACCAAAATTTGGCTTCAATGGTAAAATTTTTGCATTTGTAAATCTGATTTCCCGAAACCAGTTTACAAGCTCTTAAGAACCGCTCCTACTGCCATATCTAAAATCAGCATTATCGATTATATATATCTATATGTCTATTATTAAGAGAACGATTTATAAGTTTGAGCAGTTTCCGCTTTATGATCAAAATGTCAAAACAAATTTCGAAGAAAACGGCACGATTAGGTATTTATGAATAAAAAGCAACTGAATCGAACAGAAGTTTAGATGGGACGAAAACCGAAATCTGAGAAAAACTTTATAAGATTAATCTAAGTAAAGTATGTCCATTTTCTATTCCACTGCCGAATTTGGATTTACCATTTTATACTGTATACTATCATCTTTAGCTTTATTTCATGCTAAGGATTGAAAATAAGCTGAATTGAAATTTTCTGAATAAACAATTCTCACACAATTGTTAAGAACATGACGTTAAACACGTTTAAATATGCTTCTCTGCACCAAAGACCTGTGAACCGATCCGATCCTGGAGATGGATTGCGTTTGAGTCGGCGTCGGGTTCAATTTTCTTAACTCATGCAGGTCTCTATTGAACAGAACTTAAAATTAAATTGTTGATAGATCTTTCATAATATAATTCAACAGTCAGAAAACTTACTATCGAATCTATGATTATTTGGATAATTCGGATTATTTTGATAGCTTCACCCCAAAAAAGCAAGAAAAGGAAGAAAAACTTTATTTTCAAAATTGAACAAACCAAAATAAAGAAAAATACGAATGTATCAATAAATAATAGGCAATTCTTTTGTTCACACATTATCCATGGACTTAATAACGCTTTTAAGTATACAATAAAACAAGATCTGCTTATCGAAAAAATAATTAACAGTGCTCTGCTTGTACGTGAATAAATAAGGGCTTTGTACTAAAACACAAATAAATAACAGATCTCATTTCTCAGGGGTATCGCAAACTATGTATTATTCAGACGCATCTAAATGCATTTAGAGAGGCAAATGCGCCACGCCGTCGAACCATTTTCCAACAGAAGATCAAACGCAGTTATACACCTATGCTAAACGTTTTGAAACGCGTTTGAACGAATTCAGAGAGGCAAATGCTCTCGGACGCATCCGACCAAACGAAGAAATATTTAAGTTTAGAGTAAATGGGTCTGAACGCTATCATCAGGCGTAGGTGAACTCATTTTTGTAAATATTCAGGAAAAAACGAGTTCTGACGCGTGTTTTAGAACTTTTTACATGGGGTGTGTCCATAACTAAGGATACTTTCTCTTTCGTTAGTAGGCATAGACGATTGTAGATATAGCATAAAAACTTTTCCAACACGTGTAAGTTATAACTAATTCCAACTCCAACTAGTTATGCCTCAGGTAGTTTTAAACCCATCAGTGGCACAGGTGCTTTCATCCTATGGTACTCTTGAAGCAAATTGTCTGAAACAAAAATTTAAGAGGGGAAGGGACATTTTTAAATTTTACGAAATTGTGACTGGAAGAGAATGGATTGAAGACGAAAAGTTCTGGCCGAAAAGAGACAAAAACTATGAGGTACTACTCAGAAGAATGAATGATGAATAACGGATCGTGTGAAAGCATAGAGAGCGTTTTAATGTAACAGATGAGTTTGTTTAATAGGAAAAATTCGAATATTTTTCGGTACGAAATGCCGAGATGTACATTTTTTGCCGAGAGTCGCTTAAAGGGAATAGAAACATCTGCTTCTGTAAGACTTTACATTACACATCAAGTGTTTTACATGATCTATACAGAAAACATTGAGAAAAAGCTATACAGCTATATCGTACGGCAATTATCAAAAATCAACCGTTTAATACTGATATCAATTCATAAGTGCTGGGTATGGTCTATTGATTTTTTTCAGATGATTGAGAGATATTTATTTACTACAGAAACGAGACAGTGAATCTTTGATCCTATGAGTATATGTTGCTTAATGATTGTATTTGAACGGTAAAGCAGCGTTGTTTCCTTTTAGTTCCAAATAGAAGCACCAATGAGCCAGTCTCAATGCGATAGATAGTCTCTCCTTGTAGTTACTATTTGGAGCTAAAAGCAAACAACAGTAAAGCAGTGTCCCCTCCTCTTGTTCTATATGTCACATTCTTTCATAATTTCTTTGGACAGTTCAACGACGAATGAAACAAAACACAAGTGCTTTGTTGATGCTGACTGGAACAAATTAATTTTTATACAATATTCAAAGAGTGCAGAAGGTAGTAACACGAGAAAATACATATTCTTATAATTAGATTAATTATTTTGAAAGAAAATTCTAGTGACTTTAGTGTGTTTAGATAGCATGTTCATGTGGGTATAGTATTTTATCTGAAAAATTGTGTACAATCTTAGTGATTGAGACAGGATGAAATGCGAAAGCGTTGAAAAATGCAGTATGCTGGAGGTACTTCAGTTTTTTCGGTAGAAGCTGTTATTTTATGTTTTGATTTGAAAATAAATTCATTCCTCTTGAAATCATTAATCAGCTCTAAGCTAACAGCTTTTACGATAATATTTTGCTCGTCCTGACACTTAATATCTTTTTGAATATGTACTAGATGCTCGTTTAAAAAATGAAGAATGAATAACGACGACGAATTTAATGTAGAGAATAGCAGTACAGAAATAATTTCATATCGTCCAGTATCGTCTTCGCCAACAACGTTAATAGAAAATACAATTACTCGTGATTTATCCTATAAACGATTAAAACAATTACCGTTTTCACAATATATTTTACCAAGCAGCGGTAATACGAGTAGTAGACTTCCTAGTGTCTTAAGTTCACCGCTCATGTTCTCAAGAGATACATCAATGGATACATTATCGAGTTTTAATGTTGATTTTAATTCTCATAATAGTACATATTTATCCGAACATAGTACAATTCCATCGGGTATTGTTTCTCCCACTGATATTCCCGGTAAGTTTTTTTAAAAAAATGTGTGTGCATGTTTTTAATAGTTGTAAGTTTCTTTTCAAGATTCTCCTCCATGTGGTAGACGAAGCCCTATTGCAGAAGAAAAATGCTCGAATAATCGTACAAATTCAACAGACACTACAAACCAACTAGATGGAACTGTTATCGAAAGAACACTGAATAATAATAACAATTCGTCGTCGTCTTTCACTAGTCAAGATGAGATGAAAATATATCAATCGGAATATACCGATATGGATTCTTTACATTCTTCGAATGATAACAAACAACAACAATGTCACGATGTTTTTAACGGAAATCTACAAGATGACGAACTTTTATCTTCATGTGATATGTATGCTAGAAATGATGACAGTGTACATATCTTCACTAGCTCCGCATTTGATGACACCTCATCTATTCATTCATCTTTGAGCTCATTAACACTACCATCAATTCACGGAACAAATAGAACCTGTTGTACAGTCGAAGATGTTTTAAGACTTGCGCAATTGCGAAAAAATCAAACATCACATGATCTGAGTGTTATCAATGAAGAAAGTCTCGAAGATAAACAAAATAGTAGTAATAGTAATCGTGAACCAACAAGTGATGAAAGTGATGTGGATGATGAAAAAGGAAAACAGATACTGTTTGATTTAATACATAAACGTCTATTACATCCACCAGTTATTCTTGAAGTATCGCAACAAATTAATTTATCAACATCATCTTCATCAACCATTACAAACGATCGAATAAAAGCATCATCTTCGTCAAATGATCCAGTAAGTTTAGTATACATTCTTTTAAATGTTTTGCCATGAGGTATCCTTAAAGTTTCATTTTGTTTATGGAATTTATATTATTTTAGACAGTGCGAGAAGAGTTAAACGAATCTGCCATTCAATTTACTTCATCACACGACATCACTATTCCATCGTCAATGTTATTAAATGACTATAATACTCTTCATTCTGGTGTACCACCTAAACGTTCATTATCAAATGCATCAATTTCAACAACAAGATCAACGCCTCACCTAACAAAAAAAAGTCGATTGAATGAAGAAGAACATGAAAATGATGATCCAATGGTTGATGACGGCGATTATGATGAAGAAAAAGGTGCTGAACTTATTTCAGCCTTTATACGTAAAACTTTATCGAAGAAACCATCAAAAGATTTAATCGCCACAATACTACCATCTTATAATCAATATGACGAAGAAAATTTGATTAATAAGGCGAATTGCGAAAGAGATCTTCATTCATCTTCTCAAACTAGTTATAGTGGCAGTATTCACACTTCATTAGCTCAGTTGGATTCTGTATTACCGTTAAAAACGTACAAATATCAACATGTTGAAACAACATCAGATATTCAAATACAAATGAATAAAAATCAACAAAACGTTAAAATAAGAATGAATAATCAACAACAACAGGTATATATTGCTTTTTATCTACGCAAAGTTAATATTCAGCATGAAACATGTCACTTTCAACAAAAGATCTCAAGTTTATTGCTGTTCGTCTGCATTCAGGTGTACTAAAACATGATTATGCTTTGCATATTTCTAGGATCTAAAAGACGGTAGACGTCAACATGTTTATCAAACCAAAACTTCTGAATTAAGACGTTTACAAGCCAGACATCAAAGACGTTTGTGAAAAAAAAAATTTGTTTTTATACAAAATGTTTGAATGTTAGTTTATTTGTTTTTCTTCTAGTACATTACTATTCTAAGTCAATAATACGATAGAATCTGCTCAGATAGAGGGAGCTTATCCTCGCATACAAAGTACCTATTTATTGCTTCATTTACTTTTCTTTATTTCTATTATTAGGTTCTTTTATAAGTTAGTTATTTTTCTAATAATGTTCGAAAAATAAATGTTCCTTCGTTTATGACGCGTTTTTTTCCTACTTCATTTTCATTATGTTTCTGCGTTTCTGAATATTTTTGCAAGAATAAATTTAAAAACTGGAATGTTCTCATCATCGATCGAGACAGACCTCGATTGACTTAAAATAATATCATTGAAAAAACCTTTCTGGCTCTCTTGCCTAATTATCTATCATAAAGAATAGTGCCATTCTCTGGAATGAACAGGCGACAAATCCTTCTTCTTGAATTTTCCAAGTGTTTCACTCGCTGACGCAAATGCTCCATTAGTTACCTCATTGAACAAA